TTCTCTCTCTCTCTCTCTCTCTCTCTCTCTCTCTCTCTCTCTCTCTCTCTCTCTCTCTCTAAGTACAAACAAAATATTTATTTTTTATATAATAATATAATTACAAATACTTAAGAATGAAAATATGAATTTTGCAGCTGGTAAATTTTCTTCATATCCTCTTTGTAGTAGATTTTCTTGATATATATTCTTCACTATAACTCTCTAACTATGCAGAATAAAAAAAAATATTTAATGTTAATAAAAATATTATTAAACTTAAACTTAACAAATGGATCTTCAAAAATTTTGTTATATTTGCAGTTTCAGAAATGAGTTTAATAATATTTTTTTTTATCATGCAAAATTTATAAAAAAATCGTAAAAAAAAATTTATTATTATTCATATAATTACTAATAAATTAATTAATATCACATAATTATAACCTAAAATTAAAAATTACAATCTAACCTAATATAAATGTAAATCTTACCAACTCCTGGTTGTTTTCTACAGAAAATTAAATCTGGATGATGTTTTGCCATATTATAAAATAAATAGAATACTTCGAATAACACACAAAATAAGCTATTGCATAAATTTTTATATAAATCAACACATGAAAATCTTCAATTTTGTTACTTTTTATGGTTCCTTTTAAAGCGACGATACTTTGATCAATGATACATGAGAATGATTTCTTTAAAATATTACTAAAATATTTGAATTTTAAATAAAAAATTATAAATATATAATAATTTATAATTTATAATAAATATATAATAATTTTATAATTTCTTAATAATATAATTAACAATATAATTTTCAAACATTTATTATATTATGATTTATTATATTTATATATTATTATCTATGATTTATCGATATTATTTGTCGTTTTAAAAATGAAATATATAGTTTTACGTTACATATCAATGTAAAAAATCATAGTATTAAAAATAAAAATTTTTAAATATTATTATATTTTTTTAAATAAAAATAATTTATAAAATTTAATTTTACATTATATATAAATTTTAAAAACATGTATATATAATTTTAAATATATAGAAATAATATTTTTTTCGCATTATTTTAATGAATATATTGATAACAAAAAAAAATGTATATTTTGAATAAGTTATGCATATTTTTTTTTTTACTTAAATTATAAATTGATTTTCGATATGATACTTACTTCAAACGTAAACATTGTATTGCTATGTACAAAACTAATTGAATACAAAATATAAAAAATGTCTGAACAATCAATTTATGATATGGCTTATCGTGGTAAAACTACAGATGTTAAAAACTTATTAAATGAAAATGAAAAGTTAAAAATAGCTAAGGATAATGTAAGGAATATTTTATATGAATATTTTTTTAAGGTTATGTAATTAATGAAATTTGTTTTTTAGAATGGTCGAATGTTAATACATTGGGCAGCATTAGGAGGACATGATGATTTAGTAAGATTTTTATTATCTCTTGATGTACCAGTAGATCCTACTGATGATGTAAGTATAATTTATTAATATATAATTTATCATATTATAATTCTTTAGATATTAAATTTCGAAATATGTTCTTCCATTTTTGATTATACTCAATGCTATTCAGTATTATTAATATATATTTTATTTATGTAATAAATTATTATAAATAATTTTATAAATTAGTATAAAATTATTTGTATAATTTCTGCATAAATTTTAAAATTTATAAATTAAACGAAATGTAAATATATCTATATAAATTTTAAAAAATATTTCACATTTACTTTATTTAATTAAATTAATTAAATATTTAAATTTTGTTATTTAGACAGATATGACGCCATTAATTTTAGCAGCATCAGCTGGTCGTGAAAAAGTTGTTAATACTTTATTAATTGAAGGTGCATATGTTAATGCCAAAACACAAGAAGGTCATTCAGCATTACAATATGCAGCATCAAAAAATTGGAAATCTATTTGTGCTGCATTATTAGAAAAAGATGCCAATGTTAATATTACTGATAATCGTGGAGCTACACCACTACATAGAGCTGCATCCAAAGGCAACATTGCTATTGTAAAACTTCTTATAGAATATGGACGAAATTTAGACATTGGTAGTTATTTTATTAAATTTTATTTTTGCTAACAGGTTTAAAAATATAAATATTTAATATTAAAATATAAATATTAAATATTTTTAGAATCTGTTTGTTTTTATTTTTTTTAAATCCAGAATAAAAACAAATTATGTAATTTGCATTAATTACAAAATTTAATATTTTGCTTAAAAAATATTTCAAAATTATTTTTAGATAGCAAAGATGCTGATGGAAATAGTGCATTACATTTGGCATGTGAAGAAAATCGCGTTGATGAAGCAAAGTTATTAGTACAAAATGGTGCTAGTACAACATTGAAGAATAAACAAAAGAAAACACCTTTGGATTTAGCAACTCCAAGATTGGTACAACAACTAAAAGAAATAGAGGAAGATTCATCTTAAATATTAAAGAAAAACATTGATATCATTGACTCAGTGATATCTAATCTTTATTTTTAAAATTAATTTAATTTATGACAATATAAAAATTGTTTAACTTTAAGATAATAATAATTTTTTATTATATTAAAAATAATATATAAGATATATATATGACTAAATCTTGTATATATCTTTTTTTAAATTAAAATAATTATGAAGAAATAAAAAAACAAATTTTTTATATTTGCAATAGATGTAAGATAAATTTAAAAATATCAAATTAAAATATATATAGTTCAAAATTTTTCAAAAATTTTATATAAATTTAAGTATTAATTAGTATATTGAATAATAAAATCATTAAGCATCATAAATCATTTCATATTTTATCTGTACAATATTTTGAAATATTTAAAAAAAAAAAATTAATTTTTGTTAATATTTTAATATATTATAAAATATTTATATCTAAATATGAATTTAAACATTTTTTTCATTTTACAATCATGTTGATAGTTTGGTAAAATTATATTAAAATAAAACAAATATTTTATCATATTGTTGATTTTATATAATATATCAATTTCTGCAATTTTTTTTTATTGCACAAAAAATTAAAATTAATTATTATAATGAATTTCTAAAATTGTATATAAGTACTTTAAAAAATAAAACTTATTATTTTATTTCTAAAAGAATGAAAATTTCTTTAATTTTTCTTATATATTTGTTATTTTAAAAAAATATTCTAAATAAGAACATAAATATTTTATACTAAGTAATGAATGTTTTAAATTATAATATATTAATTAATATTACATTAATATTAAAAGGCTATTAAAAAATATTAAAATTAATAAAATAACTAATTGAAAATCATTAACCACAACAATTTATCCATTAATCTTAATTTTCAGCATTTATTATGCTTTCTTTTTAATATATTTAAGTGTTAATATTTGATTTATATCTATATAAAATGTATCAAAAAGGTTTATTATTTTGCTGGTCAAATCCTACGCACTTAACGCTTTCCTTTTTTTTTTATCTTTTTACTTAATTTTCTATACTTATCTGTTCCAATTCCATTGGAATTTATAGTATTAAACAGTGATGATACTTATAATTCCAAAGTTATTATTTTTATTAGTATTAATTGCTTAAATAAAACGCACCATGTTGAAAATTATTTTCTGCGCTTATTTACATAAATTCACAGCGATTCACAAATTACATTAGATGATCTAGGCTTGTCTTTCCTTCAGAGAAATTTTGGATGGTTTATAAAAAATATGTTATTAAATTTTGAATTTATTTTTATAAATTTCTTTATACTATTTTAGATAAATAATTTATTATAAATAAATTAAAAAAACATTGTTTTAATAATTTGATATTAAATTTATATTTAAAATAAAAATAAAGTAATCATTTTAAATTCAAAATTTTAAACATATTGCTTAATCTTTTAATGAGAGAGTATTATAAAAATTTTCAAATTTTAATATTAAAAATAAAAAAACTTAAAAATGTTTATTATGAGTATATTATATTATTTCAATAGAATTAGAATAGTTTGAATTTTTTTACATTATTTATTATTATCCGTTTATTATTTATGATAAAAATAATTATTATCATGCGAACGATGATTTTGCACAATTAAAGTATATTTTTTACAATCATCCAAATTTCCATCGAAAAGAATACATTTGAGGAAATGGTTGTCGACTTTTTAGCGTTTCGGATTTAAGTTTTACTTATACTTCATAAATAATCCTCAGGTTCAATGCTTTCATCTATATTTTTAAACCCAAAACGGGTACATATATATGTATTTTTTAAAAATACATATATATGTATTTTCATGTAAAATAAGTTTTACTTTACTAATGTTTCGTCGACCTTTATATTTTCTATTCGATAAACATAATTCATTACATAAATCCTTTTTACGTATGAAATTATAATTTATTTGTCATTAAGTAAATCCGTCGAAAATATATATATAAAGTTTATTAAATTTATTCAAAAGGTTTTCAAATTTATTAATTATAACTTTTACGTGGAGAAAATGATCCACGATAGTATGAGATGGCAGTTCAATTGTGAATTTGAAAGCCCGCTTAAAAAATCACTAGAAAGCTGTTAATGTAAAAAACAGGCCGGTTTCGTCCAGATACAATCACTTTGCCGTATCAAAAAATAGAATAGCCCTTATAAATATAGAGTGTATAATAAAGCATGTTGCATCTAGAAAACAATATTTTTGTATTAAAAGTAATTTATATTCGTAAATGTTCATTATTATAACATTATCTAGTTTTTTTTTTTTAATGTAAATTGGCAGTATGAATTTTATTAAGTACTTTTGATATAAAAAAATTCATATTTACGTAAATTCTTGACACGTACACTCAATTTTTGGATATGATTAAAGAATTAAATAATAAATCTATAGAAAAAAAATAGATTATGTAGAATAATTAAAAAAAATGATTTTCGATATAAGTATGTTTACTAAATGTCCCATACTTTATAATACTCTATATATGTATATACACAGTAATTCTTTTTCCATACAATCCGAAGCCAGTATCGTCCATAAATCTGTTTTTATTTCATATTTGTAAGTGTATTACTATCTGAATATTTTTCTTTTATGTTTAATAACGACTAATTGCCAAATTACATTGTTATATACCGATATAATGTTATCACTCGATAGTCTTTGGATTGTATAACAAAAAAATTATTTTTTATGTATATACGAATGCATAATATATACGATTGTTATTAACCTCCTTTTGTTTTTTCAAATAATTATATTTTTAAAAACATTTATTTAATCAAAAAATGATTGACATCTCGAGGAAACAAGCAGAAGCACATTACTTATTCTATACGTTTTGATTTAATTGCAAATATTAACGAATAATGATCTTTTGTATTTCATTTAAAAAAAATAACTTTTTTTATACAAATTTTCTATTTTTATGTTATAAATTTCATGTTTTTTGCTTAAATCTTGGCAAAAAGAGGTTTCGTTAATAAAAATTTTTTTCTAATGCATAAGAAATGCATATGTTATAAAAAATGCACATATAAAAAACATTGCTGCTTTTTCTATTTCTCTTTCTTAATTTCATTATATCATTTCGAAAATTCAATTTCATATGCACCGAAAAATGTGCTAGAAAAGTTTTTCTATTTAAAAATATAAATGGAATTAAAGTAATTCTTTGAAAAATTAGAAAAATATTAACATGCATACAGATTTTAAAAAATTATTTTTACTATATTTCATATATATATTCATGCATAACATTATAAAAAATGATTTGAAACATTTATAGATTTTTCGATGCACTTAAAATGGAATAATACGAAATGAAAAAGTTCTTGATTTACGATCGGCCCTAAGTACCCAATTGATAAATTTCAATCATTGATTTCTGGTTCGTTCCGACAGGCGAGTTTATTTGATCAAAAACAAGGAAATGCCTATACAATGATTATTTAAAAAAAAAAATCAGAAAAAAAGTAATTGCTATGAAATTTGAACAAAACGTAAAAACAAAACTTTTTTTTTTAAAATAACAATATTTTTTTTTCTTCAATTTAGTATAAGGATAAGTTTTTTTTTTTAAATATTTATTCAATCATTTCGATTCGCTTTGACTTTTTCATAAACTTCTTTGAAAAGTAATATCGATTTTTCAGAAGTTTTAAATTTATTTTCTATTCATTGATTTTATGTTAATTAGTATATTTTTAAAAAATAATTTCTTTTAAACATTTTGATCAACAAAAAATAGTTTCAGCCTTTCGAAAATTCTATACTCTTATACTGTTCGGAACGATACCAAAATCGTCCGTCATTGACTCGATTATTAAAAAATAATTACAAATAACATATTACGATATTTTTCGCGATAAAAATAAAAACTGCATCAATAATATTAATTAATAATAATTAATAATAATAATAATAATAATAATATAACTATAATATAATTATAATAGATATTAATGCTGCCTAAATGCGATGTTAATTCATTATCGATTATGCAGCCCCAATAATATATTTCTAGTTTCAATCTTACCCGACGAAATGGTAGTGTTTTCCACAAAAAATGACAAAAATATTAAAACAATAAAGTAATTGAAAGAATGTCTAATATAAAGCGTGTATACAGTATGGCATTCAAGCATTGTTAACGCGTATTAACTTACATATTTTATAAGCGTATAACTTGGACGCTGAACTTAAAAAAATTTGATACAAATTTACTTATACAACCTTCTTTCGCTTTTTGCTTATTAATAATAAAAGATTTTAATAAGCTCTTTGTAAAAAATAGAAGAGGATTATTTGTTTCAAGCTATCCAAAGAAAATTCGTCATTTTTTGTAGATTTCCGAAAAAACGGAGATAAAATACTACTTGGTACGGCCCTGTCGGGTTTTTTATGTACAGAAGAAAGCCGCCGTCCTCATCTAATGGCATCGTTGGGTGCATTGGAATCGACTTCTGAACTCATAGAAACGAGTTCTCCGATTCGAACTCAATTTTGGTCGAAGCGTATCTTGTACACACTTCTTGGACCTGGGTTTATGGATTTCCTGTTGTGAGGATTCAATAAGTGCTGTGTTTTCTTGTTCAGTTGACAGTTTCCTCACCATCGATGCTTTCGTCCTGTGTCGTTGAATCATCGCCGGATCCACCGGTTTGAACGGAACCGCGTTTCAGACGCGTCGAACTAAGGCTTATTGGAGGTCCACCTCGTCTATAAAAATATTTTAAATAATTTTTAATTACATATTGTTATTTAAAAAATCTGATGAAAAATTTCAAAAATATAATAAATAAATAAAATGATATTATTATATCAAAATTTTCAAAATTAAATGTTGTTTTCTATCTACAAATGTTTGTATTTTTATATTTTTCCCCAGTCACTGAATAAATTATATATCTACTATTAAAATACTAATAAAACATAATAATAATCTGTTATACTTAAAAATATTCAAACAGATATGAATATAAAAAAAATACATATAAAATAAAGAAAAATAATTTTTAATTTAAGAACAAAAACAAGAAGAAGTGAAAACAATTGCAAATATATAATAGAAAAATATAATAGAATATTTTGTACATTGCATGTACATCTAATTGTAAGTTATAAATGATATAATTCAAATTATTAAAAATAATTTAATTTATAAACTAACCAAGACTCGAGGAATGCTTGAGACTTGAAGAATTTCCGCTTTTTTCACGTGGGGTATGAACTATTCTTTTTCCCTCGACGCCTAAATATTTTAATATATATAGTAATTT